AAATATCAGTTTTTACCAAAAATGACAAAAATATTCACCAAAATTAGAGAATTAAAGATATCATTACAAAATGAACAAATCTGAGAGAGGTCCACATGTAGTACCTATATATGTAGTATCAAAGCAATTGGACTTGCGGTTTTTAACAAGAAGTCGAAAATATCAGTTTTTACCAAAAATATTCACCAAAATTAAAGAATTAAAGATATCATTACAAAATGAACAAATCTGAGAGAGGTCCACATGTAGTACCTATAGATGTAATATCAAAGCAATTGCACTTGCGGTTTTTAACAAGAAGTCGAAAATATCAGTTTTTACCAAAAATGACAAAAATATTCACCAAAATTAGAGAATTAAAGATATCAACATGAAATGAACAAACCTAAGAGAGGTCTACCCAAGGTACATATACACCAAGTATCAAAGCATTTAGGCTTGTAGTTTTCAAGAAGAAGTCGAAAAAGTAAAACATTGACACGGACGACGACGACGACGGACAATCACTCATATGATAAGCTCCGCTCGACAAAGTCGACAGCGGAGCTAAAAAGCTCACTGATACAAAAGTTTTTAGTTTTCCCCAGCTGTAGTCATTTCTGACACTTTTCTTGCAAAATTTTGATTTTTCATCAAATTTTTCACTTTTTTGGATGATGAAAAGTCACAAATCTCGCGAAAAAGTACTATGAATGACTAGAGTAGAGCTATAAACACAGAGATAGGTTATTTGACACTTGCAAAATGTCGCAAATATTTCTCTCACAGATACGATTCCAAATTACACGTAAGTGCATTTTAACATGTCTTTGCATATTTTTGTCTGAACAGGAAAAAACATATGGGTGCAGAAAATGGACACAAGGAGCTCCAACTTTTTTTTTCAAATACCTCCTTTCTCGCAACCAACCCAATACCTTGGCCCACTTTTTAGGGTCCCACAAATTACTGCCCAGAAAATCAAATGCCCGGGACTGCCGGAAAATACTCCAGGTCTCGGGCAGTAATTAGTAGGATCGCACTTTTATTTTGTCCTCTCAAATGTAACCTCCATGAATAATTTTTTGGCTTGGCTTGGTAGGGAATATTATATGCAATGCAATATAGCAGCTCCCTGGTTAAATTAAATGTCAATATCTACATGCAATGTACAAAGTGTTGTTGATTTCAAAGTAACAATCATTGGTGCCTGGCTGGGGTCACCACTGGCAGAGGTACTATTGAAATCTGAATTACTTCAAGAAAGGTAACATTACACCATACTGCAATGTATTCGATATTTAATTCCCGATTATTGCTGCGTACAACAGCACATAATTTCTTACCCGCTTTCATATAACCCATTATACCACCCATTGCCACAAGGGCAGCGTATCCAAAGCTCAACACGTCAGCCATTTTGAAAGATGAATGAATATCACTCCCACAACTCCGTGCGTGGGCTATTCCATTCGACATTGGTGAAAGAAGGGATTAATTTAGTTGTTATTTAGTAAGTAGAATTATTAATTAAAAAGTCGAGTTGTAAGCATCATGTTATTGATGTTTTCACTGAACGAGTATTTTGCAAATTAAATTTGATATTCCACGCTGAAATTAGGTTTTTGTTTCAAAGCATTCGGCCACCCCTGTATTAATGTTTTAGACCACAACACACTCAATGAACCAAGATGGCGAATAAGTTCGAGGTGCCGACATGGTAAGACTATAATCAGATTTGTTTTATCTATTTCTTTGATGATCGTCGCCCAGTGGACAAGTAAGATATGCCGAAAAAATGCTTGTTTGCTGATGGTCAAATCGAAAGTTGAGCTCACGTAAAATTATTCAGGAAATATATCCTCACTCGACTGTAGCACAGACATGCTCCGCCATTGCATTGAAGTGGGTCAATTTACGAAAGTAGTCCAAGCTCCATGGCTTTAGCAAATACAATAATATTCACTGATTACAACGAACATTCGGTGTTACTCGCACTCCGTAATATCTCAGAATAAATACTCATTATATTGTGCGAGTGAATGAAAATTATATAGTAGATACATGTACTTGTACTGTATTTTACAACTACTGTAAAATACTTCATTTTCGCTATAAAATCCAGCGAGTGTACTATTTTCCCTGTATTTTATATTCAACTCGTCAATTCCATACAAAACTCCCAAAGGGCGTTTTCAGCGAAAATTAATTCTAGCTAAAATAAAGTATTTTACACTAAGTAAAATTTACACAACCTCCTTCATGCCCCCTCACCCAGGACAATGTATCAAATAATTGAGTTAGATGTAATTGGAAATGAAATTCATTATAATATAATGATTGATTAAAAAAACTGTTCTGTTTAGATATGGCTCTATTTAGAATGTTTTTTTAAAAAAATATTTGATCTTAGAAAGCGCTTCTCTAATGCCCCAGACTCGCCCTTCCTCTGGCATAGTTGGTAGGATTAGGAAAATTAATGCTGTAACAAATGTTCCCATTCTTGGGGTAAGTATATCAAGCAAATCACCACGGAAAACAAAACAATCATTTTGGTTGGAACAAAGTGTATAAAATACTAGTACAAGTCAGTGTGTGCCCTCTACTGATTTTGTAGGAATTGCAAGAAAAATTGGAATCTTCCAAAATCAAGTTGAGTCAGTTTGTTGACTACTGGGGAAGTCAGAGGGGAATGAATGTGGAGGGGACTTAATGTTGTGGCCCTGATTTATAAAATGTAAATTGTTCTATCTGTTGCATAAATGGTATGTCAATCAAAATTAGAACACCTAATTGCTTCACATCAAATTTGTGTGTACCAGTGGCACATTATATCGGCTTTGAGGGCACACTGAGTACAATAAACTTTAATGTATGCAATGTGGAATGCTCTTTACATCAAGCTCATGGCATCAATCATGGTGACAAAATCTTGCATAATTACGAATCCCCCCCCCCCCATTGTTCAGAATTATGAGTTTTCAACTTGCTGCGTTGTTCAGAATTATCATTCACACAACCAACCACATTTTCACACTAAAATTAAAATGAATAATTAAAAAATATAATATTAGCAGACAGGCTTTAATTCAAATTTGCTGGCAGTGTGTTAAAATTATGACTATCCTCAGTTTACAATGAGATGTGTACATTGGCCAGGGCACGTAGTCAGATTCTGATGCACCCTGTGGTTTGCAATAACCTTGGATGTTTCTGTGTATATCTTTGTTTCGTCATTAGTACAGGCAAACGATGAAGACACTCATGATTTAATCAATACTTCTGTGAATTATGCAAAAATAAACCTAAACATAAAAAGCATGAAACAAACGTCTGCTGTGAAACAATTTTAATTAAAATTTATATTTATTACTTGAAATGCCAATCTTTGAAGAGGAGAGCATTGCATTAAGCAACTTAAGCTATACCCATGCATGTACCCATTATCAAGCACGTAAATTCCCCCAAATACTATGAAATCACTGCAACGCTATGACCTTAGTTTGTCCTGTTTTTACCTTTGATTTCACACATAACGCTGGATTTTGCAATAAACAGAAAATAGTCTTCTGGTATTTCATTATTGTTATCTTTTTTTCAGGGCTGGAAAACCACCGCCTGGATTACATCTGGATGTTATGAAAGACACAAAAATGGTTGAGGTCAGTACAACTTTACATGATATTGCCCTCTCAGTCCTTTGTAAAGCAGGGATCTCGCAAGCCCAAGCCGAGTGCCGGTCAGTCATGAATATTAATGAGCTATATGAATATTAATTAGCAATGAATATTAATGAGCTCGTTCACAGTGCAAATAATAGTCGGTCGTGCTGGTTGGTAAGTAATTATAATAACAATCGAACAATAGTCTTGGTCAGAAGCGTTTCCGTGGTGGTCGCTCTTTTTGAGTGCCGGTCGGGCCGACCAGCGTGGCGAGATCCCTGGTAAAGGTAATAAAATAACAGAATTTTTTCAAAATTTACTAAAAATCTCAAGATAAATCAGTAAAAA